GGTCTTAACATAGTTTGCTTCAGTTTACTATTTAAAATTGTTGAAAGCGTTTTTTATGTTTTTGTTTTCCTTACCGCTATTAATTAATAAAAATAATAGTACTAATATATGGGATTATTTTTGCATTGCCAAAATATGAGTAAGGAAGTTCAAACACAGCATAATATAATTTTGTACGTATAGATATATTTTACTGTTGCAGTGGGTGATACATTATCGCAAGTTAAAACTTTTAAGTGATATTTATAAGAAATAGTTCAGTGGCTGCATGTTTCAATGTACCTATACCTCTAAAATAACATGGTCCAAATGACGATCCTAGACCGCATCCGGCCACGCGGCTAAATTTTATCCAGCTCGCGTACTCATTATGAATCACGTTTTATATTTAAACTTTATTGATTAAAAATTTTACTCATAAATAAATTTCAGGCGGAACTAATGATTCACCTCTAAGTGATTATATCGGTGAATTTACAAATGAGGTTGATGGACATTACATTACATCGTGGGTCAGTGATGGACGAACATCATGGACCTAAGGACTATAGACACTCACTTGAAGATGGAAAGTCCTATTGTAAAATTAGAGGGTTTACTCTCAATTTTATCAACAGTGAGAAGCTCAACTTCTCATCAATAAGAAGCAAAATCTATTACAATAACGAAGGATAGGAAAATATGTTGGAGTATGAAAATGCTAGCTGTCATTAACAAATCCGAAAGTAACAAAATACTGCCCTGTTTACACCAAAGACACATTTTATCCAATTTTAACACCCACCATATCGTTATTAAATTATTTATTTTATATATTTATTTATTTTTTTTGTGAGAGGCTGATCCTGTCCACATAAAACAATTGGTATTGTATATATTATATTGTAGTCTAAAATGGATTATCTTTTACAAAACCTTTTTACTTGCTTGGCGTCATATCCAATGGGAAGTGGTAGAATTCAATTTGCTAGCAATATGTTATCAAATAATCGTGATATTATTTACCGTACTCCAGAAAACATTGTATGGTGCTACAGTGAATTTCAACAGTTGTATACTAACTTAATGCATACTATTCCTAACATCCGTTTTGTTATGCGTTTATCTGAAAAATGTCGTGATTATTTACAACCGAAAAAGCCAAATCCATTTATTATTAACGATCGTGTGGGTGAAAGTGGCGAAAATAAGCAAGTGTATCAATTTTTTATAGGTGGGATTCACCATTTGAATTTATCTGTGTTTTATACAGAATCTATTTCATCAGGGTAGAGAAATGCATAACATAGTTTAAACTCTCAACACATTATTTGTTCAAGAATGTGAGAGACAAGTCTCAGCTGAAAGTTTTAGCAAAACAAATGTTTCCAACAGATGCCAAATACTTTGAAGAAACCTATCAAGATGCAACTCGACAACTGTTTGGATAACTAATCATCAATTTGAAACTGCAAACTCCTGACCAATTACATTTAAGAACTAGCTTAGTTCCAGGAGATGAGATTGTGGCATATGTTTATACATCGTGATGAATTCGTCCATGATAGATATTAAAATATTTTATCTGAAGGGCAGGTTATATGTTATTAAAGTACTAGCATTCAAATGTTTAGTCAGTGATTATATAGGTGTATTTTCTTTAAACAACCGTTTTGAGGCAATTTATTTCAGATACAGACCACCACCAGTGTCAACTGGTAACACAGTACATCCACCACATCCCCTAGGAAAGTGGAACCATCGAGTATCTTTATTTGTGGAATGCTATTAGTTTGCTAAGACAGAACTTTCCCATTATTTTTTAAGGATAGTAAGAAAACCAAACTGTTGAGAAGTCTTCTCCAAATTTCCTATTCTATTCTGGAGTCAATTGGTTCTCCCAGAGTTAATCAACTTTACCCTGTCCAATTCACAATAATGAAATAATTTATCGTTGCAGCGTTCAAAAAGTCAATGTTATATCTGAATGGATTATAAATGATTTTATAAATATATGTGTAAATAAATATATTTAAATGTTGTTCAACTTCACACAATCTCTTTTTAATTTTTTCATCATGACACCTAGAGTAAAATAACATCTGGGTTTGCTCTGAGCATTAACTAAAGCTACACATAAACAAATTAAAGGTGTAATCGCTGGAGCTAAAATTAGTTTATAACTTATATTTGTTAATATGTTTTAAATGCTTTAAATGATAACATTACCATGATGAACATACAAAAGCAGAAATTTAGATGACGCAATTCATTTTTGAGAGAGTCGGCTGATAAGAAAACATAATTTAATAAGAAAAGAAACTTACTAATACATAAATAAGGGTTTTTACCATTACTCATAGCACCAATACTTTCATTATTTGGTGATTTGACAGGACACGCTATTGGTAAAGTTGCTGGACTTTAAAATGGAACACGCAAAACGAATGATTCTCGTTCCTGAAGAGCTGTAGATGATAAAGGCAAGATGTTAAATCAAATGCAACAACCTTTCAATCACTAGCAATGGAACCTATTAAAATTTAAATGGAATAGCCGACTCACGAAAATTTAGATATCATTGACAGTGTACCCTCAAATATAAAAAGAAAGTTGAAATACTATTAAACTTAATACTGTCAAGTGGGGATATAACAAGGAATGATAGAGGAGAAGTAGTGATTAATGTAAGATCTGAACAGTAACATAATTGATCTGATCAACAATGTATTAAGGAAATGGAAGAATTTTAACCCTACTGGATGGAAAGAACTTGCGGAAAAATTATCAAATATGAATATCCTACAAGAAGCTGTTGGACAGACGAGCATATATGAAGTATAAAGATCGTGCTGTTAAAATACCAAAACGAATTGTATTTAAATGGGCTAATTTTTAATAAACAAACATTTTATCATATGATCATTTGTTTCTTGATTGTCGTCATGGTCTATCCTCAACCATTGAATCCTGTTAATATTGTCAGCTCTTTAAGATTTAACTTTGCATGCTCTAAGGTCAAATTATAACTACTGGTAGAGACAGTGCTGATAGTAAACTAAGTAGAAAAAATTAGTTAAAGTTAATCAGATGTAGTAAATAATGTCTAACTGGATAAAACTACATAATCTATTTATTATAAACATGCACATCCTGTTAGTTATAATGGAGTAGAGCCTTTATATAAGCCAGTAAAAGTGTTAGGTAAATCCTTCAGTCTAAATCAGGTCAAGGAC